CAAGTCTTCTGAGCTGTAGTTTGATTTGCCGCCTCTCGTTTCCTTCTTCTTCCTCTTCTTTTTTTTTAATTTTCTATCCCACTTCTGACACCAATTTGTTACGTCTCCGTTCGTTCGTTAATTTTTCCGTAAATTCGTTCCGACGAAACTTTAGCGACACAAGTCATTTCTTAAATAAAACTGGTTTATTCTTTCCGAATACAACTTTACGATACACTTAATTTCAACAGTCGCTCTATAACAACGCTATAACTCACGTCTCACGTGGCCGGTCTTATATATACAAGACTACACTATATCTATAAAGGTCACGAGATTTAAGGAAAAGACGTGAAAGTTCAAGAATGACATGGCGTGATACTAGTCACGTGACCTCGATGTCGTAACAATATGAACACGGTTTATTGGCATGCTCCATATGCTTTTGCTTGTCGTATGTTCACTTTAATTGATATATCAAAGAACCAATCTGCCAGAGCACGAGGTATGCAGCTGTCTAAATGAATCTGAGCTACTTGCAATCAGCTGGTACTTACCATATCCAGAACCAATATTCCTACTGGCAGATCTATTTATTTCCTTTCTTGTTATAAATCTTCTTTCTGTTGCCAAATGGCCTTTCCAAGTTGTTTATATTCATATTTATGTGTGTCGACTAATGAGATTTTAATCACTCCACCTATTCCTTGGACAATGTGGAATGCCATCTCGTGGAGGATGACCATAAAGTGCTTCAGCAAAGAGTAGTATTTACTGCCCGAACATAAGCATTTTTGGCAATCAGCATGTAGGCCTCTATTTACTTGCTCTGTTCACCATCATAGAGTATAGTAAACAACTAGCTCACTATATTTAATATGGTCTTTTTGTAAGGGTTATTTTTGTATTATGTATTTCTTTGTTAAAGGGTTTTCTGCATACATATGTTATATTCATTGCGAAAGAGTGATTTGTTGTAATTACCTCTCATTTCATAGTAAAAGATGTTTTTATTATGCATTATATTTATCGTTGTGAAAGGATTTCAGTTGTGACATTTTTTTATGCATTTTTCTTAATTAAAGTTGTAGTTCTTTGTTTAATGGCTGTGTCGTCAATGTTGTGTTTAAAGTTTGCAGGGCCAAGGAGAAGTTAATATGATACTTGACTGTCATAAGTGTAAAATTAATTAGTTGTTACGTTAAATTGAACTGTTGGCTTGTGAATATTCCTCAAACACAGGGAGAAGGAAAAGCGTTTTCTGTCTTCTCATTTTAATATAAAAAAGTTTAAAATCGTTTACTCTAAGTATATGCAATTTTCACAAAAAAGTGGGTTATTTGACTTCGTTTTAGCGGATTTTGTTCCTTTCTCGTTTCCTGGAAATATTGTTTGTTCTGTCCGCTGGAGATATTGCAGAAGAGGTAGTTTTTCACTTGGATTCACATACTTTCAGCTGTAACTCGGCCCATTTTCAGCACTCTGGTATGTGATAACGATGATTTTGGAGAAGAAACCATCACAGGTAAGGGGACTACGCCCAATACCAATGACATTTTTCTTCACTTATCTTCATTATCATCATCTGACTCAGCTCAGTCATCACAATAATTCTCCTCCAAATCTAGCCACCTCCCCCAACATCAAGAGATACCATGAAACCAAAACATACTTGGCTCAAGCCATATGAAAATATATTGTTGCGTCACGCCAACTGCTTTCTAGAACTATTCCGTTCCTTCGGGAGTGCTCTAGCATTTACTAGATTGGGGGGTGGTCTGATATATATAAGATGGTCACGTCGTGACGTGACAATGTGTGTGTAGACAGTGAGTAATTGATCTGCAGTCAGAGAGTATTATTGAAGTTCGTTGAG